TGTGACTTTCATTAAGCTATTTTTTATTTTCGAGACCAATTTCTAAAATACAGGGCGTTAAAATTTACTATTAAAATAACATTTTCATTTATAAATTTCCCAATTTTTCACATATTTTGTTGAAACTATTATTTACTGTGGCGAGTTACATATAATTTTCATGAAGATTGTGTACATAAAAAGATATAGTATTGTATTCCCAACTTTTCTCTATGTACGCCTATGGACAAAAAACTTATTTCGTTTAATAAACCTTTTACTTTACCCAATTTTTCCTTCTTGTGTATTTTTTATGACAATTGTAATTTTTAAAATAACTTAATAAATTCAAAATTAAAAATAAACTAGTAGATATTTTTTTATTTAATTGAGCATAAGAAAAGTTTTTCAAAAATTAAAAAAAAATTATTTATCGAAAAAAACCATTATATAATGAAAAAATACTTCAAAATATGACTTACGCTTGTCTTGGCAGATGCTCTACACTTGAACGTGAAAAGTAAACTGACTCTCAAAAACCAAACTTCTCCCCTTCCTGCGTCTAACAATCAACGAAGGATATTGAAACACAAACTTGAATAACCCCATTTGTAGATGTTCGGTATTACAACGCAACATAGTAGGCGCGTGACCCGGCTTCGCGAGTCCATCGTAGGCCGCCGGCCCCTGGAATGTTTTGATCCGATGCCGATCCAGACTGGTCCAAACAGTTCGATAAGTCTCTCTGGCAAGAAGTCGCAAAAAGGTGCTAGAGTCAGCATTCATGTACCGGGCTAAGTAATTAATTTAAAGAATATTAGTCCTTTGTTTTCTTTAGAAAATATAATTTATCATAATATAATTTAGTTTATCAAGAAATTTTGGTAGTGATTAATCGAATGCAATAACGAGAGCACGGGTCACTAATCGGAATCCCACACATTATGGTCCTTCAGCGGAATGGTTTTCATGGAAAAACAGTTCAATCATCGTAAAATCACAAGGAAAAAGAAGCAAAAGCGAGAGTAGAGTGCAGAATCATCAGTCAGTCATCAGACGGTCAACGAGAAACTGTAAGTCTGTTCCTTTACAATCCCTTGCACATCCTTAGCATTTGTCGGTTTGTGTAAGCAACGTAAACAAAAAACCGAAAATGAACGAATCACAACCTTTCGAACAACAAAACGCATTAAAAATTAAAGATTTGATACATGAACGTGGTCAAATCAAAGCAACGCTCATTCGTTTTTCGGCATTTCTCAGCAAATTCACTTGTCATCCGTGAATTGCAAATTTAATTTCGCGGCTAGAACAAATCAGCATTTAACAAAGTTCAATCGGAGCAGAGCTGTTAGAACGAGGATAAGAGCAGTGAACGCGAAAATTTTGAGGAAAAGTACTTTGAATCCGTAGGTCGGGCCAAAACGTTAGTAGAACGATATCATGATCAAAAAATGGCTCAAATACAAACGCAAAGTCCAATTCAGTCGGTAAATTCTCATGTTACAGGTAGTCCAAATTTTAACAAATCATTTCCGGCAATCGAACTCATTAAATTCCATGGTTAATACGATAAATGGGATCAATTTCACGATCTATTTGTAACTTTGATACACGATGACCCAAATATCGACAATATCAAAAAATTTTACTACTTACTAGGATGTTTAAAGGGTGATGCCTCAGAAATTTTGGAATCCATTCAAGTAACAAACGACAACTACCTGATAGCGTGGAAATTATTAACTGAGCGTTATGAAAACAAAACGTTAGCAATTAAAAATAACATCAAAGGTTTATTTAATTTACCAATGGTTTCCAAGGACAAAGTTAGTCTCAGAAAGCTTGTCGATGAATTTCAAAAACGGTACCGCGCTTTAGAGTATTAAAAGAGCCAGTTAAGCACTGGGATCCTTTATTAATCTATTTAATAATCAGCAAAGTTGATCAGAGAACATCCAATCTTGGGGAGGAATTTATCATTAACAAAAGGTTGACAAGTCCCACCTTGGAAGAGTTTTTGCAATTTTTAAACGATCGATGCAAACTTTTGGAAACCACTGAACTTAACGTAAAGGTTGAAAACAAGTTACAAAAAACATCTGATCAAACAAAATAAACTTTCTGGGAAGAGAAACAAAAAAGTTCAATCATATTCAACAACGCAATCAAAGCCTCTTTTGTAAAGATTCGCATGGAATATATCGGTGCGAAAAATTCTTAGCGTTACCGGTAGCTTCGAGATTATCTGAAATTACAAAACTTGAAATTTGCTCGAATTGCTTGCGTTCAAATCATACCACTACAGATTGCACTTCTCAGCGATGAAAAGTATGTTCGAAAAAACACAACACGATGCTACATGTAGATGCCAAATCTGAAATTTCGGAAAAAAATTCTGTTGAAAATTTAAAATCTACTTCAGCTGAAAACACGTCAAAATCGGTAGGGTTAATAGTTAACCACAACATTAAAAATGAACCTCAAGAAATTCTCTTATCGACAGCGACAATTTTAATTCAAGATCGCGATGGAAGTTGGCAACCCTGTCGCGCGCTACTTGATAGCGGATCACAGTCAAATTTCGTGACGCAAAATTTGACAAAGAAATTAAATTTGTCTTGCGCTGAAATCAATACACCCGTTGTAGGTGTTGGTAGCACACAGACCAGTATAGCAAATCAAACGCGTGCTAAAATAAAATCGATTGAAAATAATTTTGAAAACAAACTAACGTTTTTAATTCTCGATAAAATAACTGAAAAATTCCCAACTCTTCAAAACGCCGTATTTGGTTTTATCGTTTCCGGTCCTTTAAATTTAAATTATAATACAAAAAAGACTGTTTGTCATTTATCAGTTAACCGAACATTAGAAACCCAGCTGGAAAAATTCTGGCAAATCGAGGAATGTTCTTTTGTAAAACATTATACCGAGGAAGAAACTCTTTGCGAAAAAATATTTGCGGAAACTGTAAAACGCAATAAGACATTGTAACATTACCTATCCGAGAAACAGCAGGCAAAATCGGCAACTCTCTTGATGCCGCTTTGAAAAGGTTACATTCTATTGAAAGAAAGTTTAAAAGAAATCATGATTTTAAGTCATTTTAAGAGGGAATATGAATCACTTGGCCACATGCAACAAATATTCGTTAATGAAAGTGAAACGAATAGAAGCATTTTTAATTTACCGCACCATGGGGTAATTAATAATTCTAGCACTACAACAGCATTAAGGGTAGTTTTTGACGGATCTTGTCCTTCGGTGATCGGTCCGTGTATACAGGACGACTTATTTTCACTACTACTTAGATTTGGAAAGCACAATGTTGTAATAACAGCTGACGTGGCGAAAATGTATCGTCAAGTTAAAATATCCGAGCATCAGCGTGATTTACAACGTATATTGTGGCGCGAAAATTCGGAATCTCCAATTTCTCATTACGTTTTGACAACAGTGACGCAAGGCACTGGTCCAGCTTCATTTTTAGCTACCAGAGCTTTACAACAAGCTGCTATCGAAAATCGTGAATAATATCCAGATTCATCAGCCGTAATTATGCGAGATTTTTACGTGGACGACCTAATTACTGGGGCTCCTAACGTAGAACTAGCATCCAAATTAAAAACTGAAATCAATGAAATATTAAGTCAATATGGTTTTTTCTGAGAAAATGGACTTCAAACGCGGTTCAAGTAATTGAAAAGGAAAACTTTGTTAGTACAGACAAACATTACGTTCATGAAAAAGAAATAAAAAAGACTTTAGGTTTGGTATGGCATGCAAACTTGGATGTTTTGAAATACGAGGTCAGTAATTTCAAACAATCCCAAAAAATCACTAACACACATTCTTTCAGCTATTTCAAGCATATTTATCTCCAAGTTCCTTAAAAATATTCGTAGCTAATCGAGTTGCCGACATTCAAAGAAAAACAAACACTTCACAGTGGAATCGTATTCCTACAAACCAAAATACCGCTGACGTTGTCTCTAGAGGTGTCAGGCCGTCAGAGTTGATCAATCTCAAACTTTGGTGGTTCTGTCCCGAGTGGCTTGCGAATGAGAAAAAATCATGACCTCAAGCAACAATTAAGTTATGGAATATTCCCGAAAAAAGAAATACTAAAACAGTTTTAACAATTACATCCGCAAAAGGTTTTGAGATTTTCCAAAAATATTCGTCCTTATATAGGTTACAACGTATCATAGCAATATGCTTTAGATTCTATTCTAATTGCAAGGTTAAGAAAGAAAACCGAAATTTTGGAAATATAGGCGTTGAAGATATCGAAAGGTCGATGAATGTTACTTTAAGACTAGCACAATCGGAAATGTTTGTCGCTATAAAAAGTAATAAACCTTTATCAACAAAATCAAAACTATATATTATATATATATATATATATATATATATATATATATATATATATATATATATATATATATATATATATATATATATATATATATATATATATATATATATATATATATATATATATATATATATATATATATATATATATATATATATATATATATATATATATATATATATATATATATATATATATATATATATATATATATATATATTTATGGTCTCCCATTTTGCATCAAAACGGCCGCCATTCCACTCTGAGAAGCATCTACAGAAATGGTCGTAAGTTGGTTAGTGTCAAAAAATTGCAAACAAGGTGTTTTTGTCAAAGTTTGCCACGTCTCTTTTCCACTGAAAGTGGAGGGGAGACCGAAGCAATCCTACTATACTTTGCTCACTTTGCTACCGATTGGAAGCAGTAAGTATAGGGCCCAAGCAGCTCAGTTTCTCAAAACATGGGCGGGGTATAAAAAAAGAAAGTAAGTAAATCAAAGGTTGGAAACCGGGGCGCCAGCTAGGATAAAACCCCAACCTATACTATAAGTTAGTGATAGTGACTAGTGTCCTTGCTCACTAGCCACCAAAGAAACTCACAAAGTTAACAAAGTTCGAACCCAAATAACCAAAAACCAAATAAATAATTAATAAATAAGACCGGCACGTCAGTTTAAATCTCCATATATTGGCTCAAGTACACACTAATCACAGGAAGCTTGGTTACGATCGATCGTTTACAAATAATTCTTACAAAAAAAATGTTTCTATAATTGTGTGCTTTATCTTTACCCTAACTGAGCTCTTTAATTTATATTGATATTTAAAAATTGAAATTTGTATCTACAATATAACCTAAATATTTAAGATGCGGTCTACAAAACTGACATTTTTCGCGAGACTGTAAGACCAGATTCTAGAAGACGATCAAAAACCTTACCAATAATACTCAAATACGACTCAAAATCTGAAGAGATAATAATTATATCATCCAAATAGACGAAAACATTGGGTTGAAGGTCAACTCTAACACTTTTTCCATCAACCTTTGGAAGGTTGCCGGGGCATTAGTTAATCCGAATGGCATTCTTTTAAAATGAAAAAGTCCACGACCGAGGACCGTGAAAGCACAATATTCTCGACTGCTTTCCTTAATTGACTTAAGTACTTTGCACCACCGAGGCTATCAAGTATAGAGGAGACAAGGAATAGGATATGCATCCTTTTTTGTAACGGCGTTCAAACGCCTGAAGTCAACACAAAAACGATGAGTTCCATCTTTTTTTGGTACCATTAATATCGGGGAAGACCAAGCGCTTTTCGATGGTTCAATAACATCAGGTTCTAGCATTTTTGTCAGTTCTTTCGTTCTTTAATAGGCGGACCTTCAACAATAATCTCGTGCTCAACCACATTAGTAAGACCTAAAGTGGTTCCCATTTTTGAGAACTTCTCATCAAGCAAGATGTTAAGAGAATTACGTTGTTCTACAGACAGATCTACTACGTCACAGACAGTATTCATTTGACAAACATAAGGCTCATTTGAGAAATGTCACTCATTACGGCGCAAGTCAGGGACGATACCCATTTTCGTCCAGAAATCAGTACCTAAGATCAAAGGATGGGGAAGGCTTGGCACAACCAAAACGTCGACAACGCAAAGTTTATCTAGCAAGCACATATGCCCTGGTACTCGACCTAAACTTTTACAAGACTGTCCATTGGCAACATGAACGGAGACAGGTGGCGAGGTAATCTTGAGTCCTAAGTCTAAATTCCCAACCAGATTGACCAACAACGGTAACGTTAGCACCGGAATCAAGCATTCCTAAAATAGTTTTCCCTAATATGGTGATTTCAAGATAAGGGCGTTGATCTTTATCAGCATGAGATATGACATAATCGAGTAATGCTTTATGAGGAAAAACATGATTGGTCGAACAAGGCAAAGAGCTGGAGGTACTATTTCGACCGATTAGTTCCTCCTGTGATCGTTTCCCGCACGAGGTGAACATTCCGGGCACGTGCGAACGGTGACATTTGATCTTTTACAGCGAAAACAATGCTTGCAATGGATATATTTAAAGACAACTCCTGAGTGGATGCTGACAAATATGCAAGTTCGGGTTCCACATAACTTTGGTTTGACCTACGAGTGGGAGGTCTATAGTGATCCGCACGGAACTTTTTAACCTCAAGTTTTAGCCATTCAGCCTCAAGTTCATTAAGAGAGCTTACAATTGGGAGTTGCATAACGTAGAATGGAGCCAAATTCCTTAAAATGATATCGACCTGAGTTTCTTCGGGAACATTGCCATAACAGCTAAACATAGTACTCATGCAAGCGAGATAATCCACGATTGTTTCGTTGGGACCTTGTGTACGGGATAAAATTTCCCCAAATAAACGAGATTTATAATCTGGTGCTAAATAATGCGAAATACAAAGTTGACGAAGTTCTCTCCAATTTTGACACCTTTTAATAACAGACCTATTCCAAAGTAGTGCTTTTCCCTGAAAAAGATCTAAAGAGGAAGCGAAAAGATCGGCCTCTGAGACATTACGGGCATGGCGAAGTTCTTCTACACGCTCTAAAAATTGGCCCACCAATAGAGAGCAATGAAAAAAAAACAAATTAAATAATTAGTGCTAAGTACCCAAAATCTTCAATAACTAATATTCAAAATTACTCGCTGGCAAAAATATGTGAGTGACCCCGCATTGATTCAAAATTCAAATTCAAAAATATAGCCAAGTATTTTTTGCAGTTCGAACCAATATACAAATCCAAACTGACGGCCCATTAATTCAAAACTCAATAAACTATAAAAAATTGCCAGAAATATTTGAAAAGCTATAAAAACAACGAACCTACAAAATAATAAAATTTACACGTTGGGTGCTAAAAAATTCCCAGAAAATGTACACATTGGGCGTTAAAAAAAAAATACACGTTGGGCGTTAAAAAAAAAAATTACACGTTGGGCGCCAGAAAAATTGCCACGTCTCTTTTCCACTGAAAGTGGAGGGGAGACCGAAGCAATCCTACTTTACTTTGCTCACTTTGCTACCGATTGGAAGCAGTAAGTATAGGGCCCAAGCAGCTCAGTTTCTCAAAACATGGGCGGGGTATAAAAAAAGAAAGTAAATCAAAGGTTGGAAACCGGGGCGCCAGCTAGGACAAAACCTCAACCTATACTATAAGTTAGTGATAGTGACTAGTGTCCTTGCTCACTAGCCACCAAAGAAACTCACAAAGTTAACAAAGTTCGAACCCAAATAACCAAAAACCAAATAAATAATTAATAAATAAGACCGGCACGTCAGTTTAAATCTCCATATATTGGCTCAAGTACACATTAATCACAGGAAGCTTGGTTACGATCGATCGTTTACAAATAATTCTTACAAAAAAAATGTTTCTATAATTGTGTGCTTTATCTTTACCCTAACTGAGCTCTTTAATTTATATTGATATTTAAAAATTGAAATTTGTATTTAATAGGCATAAAATTAACCGGAACATAAATAGAGGCTTATCTGTGATCCTCCAGTTACCAGCAACGAACGAGTCGGGCAAGCTCTAAGATGGCTGTTCTGTATACAGCCTACGGGTTCACCAGTCAGTGGGATAGGCACGAATGCTTATCACTCTTGGACGAGGAGATATGCACTGCAACGTCCTGAACCGAGCTAACTTGAAGACTTGATGAATTTTTGGGTTGCAGAATTCATAACACGTGCCGTCCACGATGTAAGGTGGCACCAAATCCAATTGAACCGGAACTGGGGAAAACCAAATCGAAAACCAAAATTAAAACCAAAAACCAGAACCGCCTGATGATCGTGGGTGGCGGTGAAGAGTGCCAGGTGCTAGGTTGGTTAGCTTTAATCCAGCCTAAGCTGTAATGTTGGGGACGTCCAAGCAACATACTACCAACAAGACGACGATCCGCAACTTCTATACGAAGAAAGAAAGATCGATGAAGTTTCACAAAGTTCCAAAAAAAGAGACCGATGGTGCTGGCAATACGATGTTCGGTTCCGACACCACTAGGGTCAATGGGCCAATAATGACAGGAGTTAATCAACGTAAGGAGAGCAAATATTATCTAAATGCTACTCGCTATTATCAATAAAAACCAATTAATACACATACATGAACGAGATTACGGAGTAACGTCTTAGGAAATCGAAGACGAACGTGGGCCAAAGGTCGAGTGCTTAACTGTACGAATGGCCGAGTGCATTCGCGTTGACAGAGGATTGAAATATAACCTCTCCAAAAAGCAACAAGTGTAAATAAATGAAAGCAAGGGACAACAATGGAAATTGCCGTTAGTTCGGAAATAAGAAGGAATACAGGACGATCGTCTCGTGCAATAACATCTTAAATTGCAGCCAAAATGCAAGGACTTACACTTATTTACATTTATTTTAGGACAGGCAAACCACACCAAGCAATTAAACAGTTACAGTGTGTTCGAACAGAATGAAGTAGTGAAGAATAATTAGCAATACCAGTAGCTTTGAGGATTAAGACAGTGTGTAATTGTGAGAATAAAACATTTAATAGGTAGTCTCCGAGCATTATTAACCTACATGTGAGAAACATAAGTCGAAGTAGCCAATGACAAATTGAATCCGCTACTTTAAGTTTTGAAGTGCTCTCTCATGTTCACCCGACCATTGAAAAGTTACATCTTTTTTCAGTAAAGAACGCAAAATTGAGGTTTTTTCAGACAAACCATCTACAAAGCGAGCTATATATGTGACCATACCCAAAAAACGTTGAATATCTTTGACATTTCCTGGACTTGGCATGTCTAAAATGGCCTGAATCTTAGATCTATCTACCTCTATGCCACGCTCACTTAGTTCATGTCCCATATAGGAGACTTTTTGACATAGAATTTTACATTTTTCTTTGTTAAAACGAATGTTATGTTGTGCAGCACGCTTTAAATTAAATTATGACCAGAAATCGAGTTACTAAAGCAGATAACGTCATCTATAAAAACTGCACAGCCTTCTATGTCTCCAAAAATTTCTTGCATGCGTTGCTGATATACCTCAGATGAACATGAAAGACCATAGGGTAATCTCCGGAAATAATATCTACCAAAAGGTGTCGCAAACGTGCAAAGTTTAGAGCTTTCTTTATCTAATTTTATCTGGAGAAACCCCTGAGTTTCATCTAAAGCACTAAAATATCTAGAACCATGCATTTTTGATGCTATTTCATCCCAAGTAGGCAAATGAAAGGTTGGTTTCCTTTAAAATTGATTTAATCGAGAAGGATCCAAGCATCGTTAAAGGTGAAAAAATTGTTACTATATACGAAGCGAACCATATCAAGAAACTGTTGAAATGCTCGTCTAAAATTGCCAATACTAACTCTAGGGTGATATTCGTAAAAAGAGACACCACATCAAAAGAAGCAAGCACAAAGTCCTGAGGTATTTGAACACCGTTAACAAGTTCGTCAAATTCGAATGTGTTTCTAATTCTAAATTTATTGAAATTCAGCGAAAGAGGCGCTCAAAATCTGACCAACGAAACATGCTAATGGCTATGTAGTTTCTCCGACACAGGACACTATGGGACACAGTGGGCAGTCCTCTTAGTGGACTTTCGGTAAGCCATAATACTAAGGGCTTGTTCTTTAATTTTTTTCACTGATATTGACGACGTAGGGTCTCTATGGACTGGAATATACATGGCATTATCTCCTAGGAGTTCCAATGATTTTTGTATATATGATTCTCTAGACATGGCAACCATGACATTGCCCTTGTCAGATTTGGTAATTAGTAGGTTAGAGTTAGCTTTCAGAAATTCCCTTGTCCTTCTCTCAATGTCATATGTCGATGCACGTGTTACTATTAATATAATTACCAACGAGGTTTGTGGCCCTCGAGCGAACCAGGTCTCTATGCTGTTTGCAAACATATTGAATGATAGATCTGCGAGTAATTTGAAAATATTAATGTACCTTGGTGGAATAGGGAGGCTAAATTTAGGACCTATGGCTAGAAAACCACAAACTTCAGCAAGTATTGTTGTGCTAGAAATGTTCTTAAACCATTTAACATAATCAGCAAAGAAACTGTATCTTCGGAATGCCAAAGTCCTTTGATCTTTTTTAAATTATTCCCCTTAATTTTACTAAAAATCGAATTGTATTGAATGCTCGGTGTGAATAAAAAATCATCTAAAATATTAAAAGGAAGGCTTTTTCCACGTAGAAAGTCTGTATGTCGCCTCAAAGTATGTTCAAGTGTCATGTTGTGCATTTTTTTAGTTACCTTTTGTGTTAGAAATTCAAGTTGTCTATGGTTAGTGTTGTTAAGTTGTTGAGGTATGCGCCACAGTTGTGTGCCATCTTGTAGGTATATGGGAGGCACGACGTCAGTGCCATATGTGATTCCAATCCTACGATAGAATTATCCCATTCTTACTCCTAGAAACAAAGTGTAAATACAGTTAGGGGCTACTGGTAACTTGTTGCACAAAATAACTACGGGATCGCCCAATATTAACTAATATAGAGGGAGCAATACAAGATGCAAATGCTCATTGAATAGTGGCTTTTTATTGTTAAGTCAAGCTTTCGCCCAAGTATTTAGGCTTCCTTAGGACACTAAAATGTAAAAGGGAAACACTCTATAATAAAAACAAGAAGAACACACTGGGCTTATCAATACATACATCAATTAAACTCTAACAGCAGAGGGGGCACAGTACTCCTTGCACAAACAGAGAACCGTGTTAGCCATTAAAGTAAAGGCTGCACAGATTAAAATAGTAAAACAAAGGAAACTTATCCTAGACAACAAGTCACTAATTAATAAGTCAAATAACCGTAAACGACAAAGACCCAACAAAAATGCAACCCAATTCGATTCTGTCGGAGATAATCTGCTCAACGACATTTAAAAAAAAACAGAGAAATTTGACAGTTGGAAAAATGCTCAGGCACATATAAAGAAAACTTGACAAATCAAAGAATCACCACATTACAAAACCAAAGAATAAAAAACAAAAAACCCACCAACGACCATTAACTTCGAATTTACGTTTAACCACGGTGAAAAAAGCACAGAAATAATTTTAGTATTCGACTAGATCAGGGGTCTCCAAACTACGGCCCGCGGGCTACTAGAGATTAGATGTTGTTTATAGCAAATAAATTTAGTTTACTGAAGTAATCTATTTTTACGTTGAATATTAATTAATATGACATCTACATTGATATGGTCATGGGCTAACTACTCATAACATTGTTGTAGGTTATTATATACTAACCAACAAATTATCGAAATGAATTCAACCAACATTTTATACATTTTAAATAAAAAAATAACTTATAACAAGCATAATGACATATGAAATTCTAATGAGATTTATGTAATTGCGATTTTTCACTGACAATAGTTTGTAGTTGTGGGCTAATTTTACTTGTACCAATTATTAAAAGAGATTTAAGATGCCCATCAGTCAATTTAGATCTGTAGACATTTTTTGTGTACTTCATTTTGGAAAAGGTCTTCTCACACAGATAAGTAGTACCAAAAACAGAAAACATTCCACGAGCAAATTTATGCAAATTATCAAATTGTGTCAGTGGAAGACACTTATAAAATTCCAACAAGGATAAGTTTTGATATTTGTTCTTAATGATATCACTGCACTTTAAGTCAATCATTTCCATTTGAAGTTCCGGGGCTAGGGTTTCAATGTCAGTTTCGAAAGGATTCTGAAAAATCTTAATTTGATTCGCAATGGCATCAAAGTCCGAGAAACGAGTATCAAAATTTATTTTTAAAGCAGTCAAAGTTTCGATTGCAAAATTGATAGGAAACTCGGTCTCACTGCTTTGGCTAAATATTTCACATGACTGATTCAACTTTTTATCACCGGCGACAATTAATGATAATATTGTTTTGGCCCTTAGAATTTCTTGGCGTGATCAATATGGCCCTAAGGCTGAAAAGTTTGGAGACCCCTGGACTAGATCACAGACCCACAAAATTTTTTCACCTAAACCAACACAACTGGGCTTTTCTTGAATAGCAATCTGCTCAAATCGCGACTCAGGTAGACTTAAGATTGTTAGGTTGTTTACAGATCTCTATAGACACTCGCATTTTTCGTTGGTAGAAGAATTGATTACATGCAAGAATGTTAGTCATTATTTAAAATAGAAAGATGAGACCTCTCAGAAAACACTATGGCAATATCTAACATATTAAATTTCAAAAGTTTTTAAGCCACAGTTTTTGAAACACGGTTGCTACGGCACTTTTGACCTCCTTACGAAAATTTTTATCTTAAAAGTAACAACATATTAATTTAAAAAAACATCAATACACTAAACCTCATCAATAATAACATATTCAACTTACAGTTTTATTGAAATTAAGAAATTTATTTTGTTTTTGTGAATTAGAATTTAATAAGAGTCTGAGGCAGATGCGTCTGATTCTGAATTACTAAACTTACATATTTATAACTGTAAAGGGTTGGGGGAAGGTGGTTGTAAATCACCCTGAAAAATTAAACGGTTAGAGCGGCAAGAAAACGGTAGGACATACAATACCCAAAATTAACACAGCAAAGCTTGAATTTTACAAAAAGCCACTTATTCACGCTACCCGAATAGAACAAAGCTTTTTGTCTCCTCTAAAATTACTCATTCATTCATTCGCATTCGCAACAGACCAGAAACAAAATGGAATATCACAGAGCAGAAACCTAGCACTACCTAGCACTATCGTTAGAGACATGGTCCAAAGCAAAATGGCTTGCGTTAAATTCTTCCTGACTTCGCGATCATATGTACTTTTGTCGTACGCACAATGCTAAGTCGACTAAGAAATCCATGGAACACAGGCATCAGATGAAGAAATGGACAACACAATTAATTCTATAAGCTACTTATAAAACTAATATTATTATAAGAAAATTATTACTACATCCAAACAAAATAAACCCATTACTTCTCAAATGTGCCAGTACTTTTACTTTAAAAATACTAAATTTTACTATTGAAATATGAAACCGCCACAACATACATGTAATGCAAAAGTAAACTGTTATCTCTCAAACCTTCTCGGTGATGGGTATCTCAGAAATTGTGACAAGGACAATGGCCGTTCATTTAATTCTGCAAAAAATACATGGGCAAACCGCAGAAAAAGAACTTAATAATTTTGACTACAAAAATTCCCGTCCTTTTAAACAGAAACACTCTTGGCTAAGCCCAATCGAAATTATTTTTATATTAAACCCCAAAACAAAATTTGATTTACTTAAATCGAAAGTGAATAATACCTTTAAATTTGCAAAGAATTATGATTTTATATAACCTTTATGCCTTTCAATGGAAGAATTAGAAATGAATGCAGATGAATAGTAGAAAGTAGAAACAATTGAAAGGCATGTGAGGCGAATTACCGATAATGTAAATATCGAATGGAAATTAAAGGGTGGCTATTATTGAAAATAACACTGAGCGCAGCATACATATCAACATTACAATCATGTTTCCCAGCCACCGCTCCATAGGCAAAGTATTAACTCGCCAAAAAATCTAACGTAACTACAGCTAGCTCTCCATTATCATTAACGGGAACCACGTCTCCCAAAATTTATCCAACTAGGCCATACCTGACAATCAAGTAGCTTGTAACTCCAATAGCACCCTTACATTGTGTAAAACTAGTAGAATTAGTTTTTTTATAAATATTTGATGTAATAAATAAGTGTAAATACTGCTCAAAGCATCCACATCTCTTTTATGGTTAATACAGTTGGCACACTGATGAATATAGCACATTTCTAGGAACCTGCGTTTATAGCAATTTTTTTCAGTATCTAGAATATAAGGATTGTTGTATGTTACTTGGTGGTCATGGTTATTCACATAGGAACTAAAGCTAGTAATCTTGGGCTTATGTTTACAGTCACTTTTATGTAGTGTGTAATTCTTTTTTTTTTAATTTGAGATGTTTGCCTTATGTAAAGTTTTTCACATTCACATTGAAAACCTTAGACGACATATTACTTTCTATTTATTGGCGTGGTGTCTTTTAGTTGAGAATAGAATAATCTGAGCGACCTACCATTATATTTTGCCATCTTCATATTTGAAGGTTGAAAGAACCGCACAAGTGATGGCCTTAATTTGTTAATATACATGAGTTTACCAAATTTAACTTCTAAATTGGTCAGCCAATCCTCCTGCACATGACGTGGGGGGAGGGTCCTGTAGTGTAGGCCTCACAGAATAAAAGTTTATTAATTAACCTGATGGAACATTTATTGTCCACAAGAAGAGTTCTCAATAACAGTAAGTTAAAAAGTTAGAAAGAACGGTGACAGATCTTGTAAACCCAATAGAGCGTTAATTTTTTGGTTCATGGGGTGGTGGGAAGAGAAGGGGATATATCTACCAGACCTGAACGCTTTACGCTACCAATCTAAAATAACGACATTGTCCATCGTCCGAATAGCTTTCGAGTCTAAGAAATGCACCAAACGAGCACATTCCGTCTCCACAGTAAACACCAGACACGGATTGGATTAATTAAAAATGTTAAGTGTTGCATTGAATGAATTTTCGGGAAGTACATCAAACAAATCATCCACATATTGGCATAAAAGTGCGAATTTATAGTCAACTTTATCTACAACGAAATATAATAATTTATTCATCACAATTTCCGCGATCACTAGGGAGGCGGCACCACCCATCCGAAGAACCTTAATTTGTTGATAGTAATCGTTGTTAAAGGTGAAAAAAGTGTTACTATATAGGAAGAGAATCATATCAATAAACTGTTTTTTCGGAATATTACAATTGGGTTCAATCAAATTGAAATGCTCGTCTAAAATTGCCAATACTAACTCTAGGGTGATATTCGTAAAAAGAGACACCACATCAAAAGAAGCAAGCACAAAGCCCTGAGGTATTTGAACACCGTTAACAAGTTCGTCAAATTCGAATGTGTTTCTAATTCTAAATTTATTGAATTCAGCGAAAGAGGCGCTCAAAATCTGACCAACGAAACATGCCAATGGCTGTATAGTTTCTCCGACACAGGACACTATGGGACACAGTGGGCAGTCCTCTTAATGGACTTTCGGTAAGCCATAATACTTAGGGCTTGTTCTTTAATTTTTTTCACTGATGTTGACGACGTAGGGTCTCTATGGACTGGAATATAAATGGCATTATCTCCTAGGAGTTACAATGATTTTTGTATATATGATTCTCTAGTAGGTTAGAGTTAGCTTTCAGAAATTCCCTTGTCCGTCTCTCAATGTCATATGTCAGTGCACGTGTTACTATTAATATAATCACCAATGAGGTTTGTGGCCCTCGAGCGAACCAGGTCTCTATGCTGTTTGCAAACATTTTGAATGAGAGATCTGTAAGTAATTTCAAAATATTAATGTCCCTTGGTGGAATAGGGAGGCTAAATTTAGGACCTATGGCTAGAAAACCACAAACTTCAGCAGGTATTTTTTGTGCTAGAAATGTTCTTAAACCATTTAACATAATCAGCAAAGAAAATGAATCTTCGGCCTGCCTAAGTCCTTTGATCTTTTTAAAATTATTCCCCTTAATTTTATTAAAAATCGAATTGTATTGAATGTTCGGTGTGAATAAAAAATCATTTAAAATATTAAAAGGAAGGTTTTTTCCACGTAGAAAGTCTGTATGTCGCCTCAAAGTACGATCAAGTGTCATGTTGTGCATTTTTTTAGTTACCTTTTGTGTTCAGTTATGAAGGTATGCGCCACAGTTGTTGTGTGCCATCTTGTAGATATCTGGGAGTCACGACGTCAGTGCCATATGCGATTCCAATCCTGAGATAGAATTATCCTATTCTTACTCCTAGAAGCAAAGTGTAAATACAGTAAGGGGCTACTGGTAACTTGTTGCACAAAATAACTACGGGATCGCCCAATATTGACTAATATAGAGGGATCAATAAAAGATGTAAATGCTCATTGAATAGTGGCTTTTTATTGTTAAGTCAAGCTTTCGTCCAAGTCTTTAGGCTTCCTCGGGACACTAGAATGTAATTAAACTCTAACAGCAGAGGGGGCACAGTACCCCTTGCACAAACAGAGAACCACGTGTTAGCCATTAAAGTAAAGGCTGCACAGATTAAAATAGTAAAACAAAGGAAACTTATGCCTAGACAACAAGTCACTAATTAATAAGTCAAATAACCGTAAACGACAAAGACCCAACAAAAATGCAACCCAATTCGATTCTGTCTGGTGGTCGGGGGATAATCTGCTCAACGACACTTAAAAAAAAAACAGAGAAATTTGACAGTTGGAAAAATGCTCAGGCACATATAAAGAAAACTTGACAAATCAAAGAATCACCACGTTACAAAACCAAAGAATAAAAAACAAAAACCCTCCAACGACCATTAACTTCGAACTTACGTTTAACCACGGTGAAAAAAGCACAGCCAATAATTTTAGTATTCGGCTAGATCACAGACCCACAAAATTTTTTCACCTAAACCAACACTACCGGGCTTTTCTTGAATAGCAATCTGCTCAAATCGCGACTCAGGTAGAGACTTAAGATTGTTAGGTCGTTTACAGATCTCTATAGACACTCGCATTTTTCGTAGGTAGAAGAATTGATTACATGCAAGAATGTTAGTCGTTATTTAAAATAGAAAGATGAGACCTCTCAGAAAACACTATGGCAATATCTAACATATTATATTTCAAAAGTTTTTAAGCCCCAGTTTTTGAAACACGGTTGCTACGGCACTTTTGACCTCCTTACGAAAGTTTTTATCTTAAAAGTAACAACATATTAATTAAAAAAAAACATCAATACACTAAACCTCATCAATAATAACATATTCAACTTACCGTTTTATTGAAATTAAGAAATTTATTTTGTTTTTGTGAATTACAATTTAATAAGAGTCTGAGGCAGATGCGTCTGATTCTGAATTACTAAACTTACATATTTATAACTGTAAAGGGTTGGGGGAAGGTGGTTGTAAATCACCCTCAAAACTTAAACGGTTAGAGCGGCAAGAAAACGGTAGGACATACAACACCCAAAATTAACACCGCAAAGCTTGAATTTTACAAAAAGCCACTTATTCACACTACCCGAATAGAACAAAGCTTTTTGTCTCCTCTGAAATTACTCATTCATTCATTCGCATTCGCAACAGACCAGAAACAAAATGGAATATCACAGAGCAGAAACCTAGCACTACCTAGCACTATCATTAGAGACATGGTCCAAAGCAAAATGGCTTGCGTTAAATTCTTCCTGACTTCGCGATCATATGTACTTTTGTCGTACGCACAATGCTAAGTCGACTAAGAAATCCATGGAACACAGGCCTCAGATGAAGAAATGGACAACACAATTAATTCTATAAGCTACTTATAAAACTAATATTATGATAAGAAAATTATTACTAGATCCAAACAAAATAAACCCATTACTTCTCAAATGTGCCAGTACTTTTACTTTAAAAATACTAAATTTTACCATTGAAATATGAAACCGCCACAACATACATGTAATGCAAAAGTAAACTGTTATCTCCCAAACCTTCTCGGTGATGGGTATCTCAGAAATTGTGACAAGGACAATGGCCATTCATTTAATTCTGCAAAAAATACATGGGCAAATCGCAGAAAAAGAACTTAATAATTTTGACTACAAAAATTCCCGTTCTTTTAAACAGAAACACTCTGGGCTAAGCCCAATCGAAATTATTTTTATATTAAACCCTAAAACAAAATTTGATTTACTTAAACCGAAAGTGAATAATAGCTTTAAATTTGCACAGAATTATGATTTTATATAACCTTTATGCCTTTCAATGGAAGAATTAGAAATGAATGCAGATGAATAGTAGAAAGTAGAAACAATTGAAAGGCATGTGAGGCGAATTACCGATAATGTAAATATCGAATGGAAATTAAAGGGTGGCTATTATTGAAAATAACACTGAGCGCAGCATACATATCAACATTACAATCATGTTTCCCAGCCACCGCTCCATAGGCAAAGTATTAACTCGCCAAAAAATCTAACGTAACTACAGCTAGCTCTCCATTATCATTAACGGGAACCACGTCTCCCAAAATTTATCCAACTAGGCCATACCTGACAATCAAGTAGCTTGTAACTCCAATAGCACACTTACATTGTGTAAAAATAGTAAAATTAGTTTTTTTGTAAATGTTTGATGTAATAAATAACTGTAAATACTGCTCAAAGCATCCACATCTCTTTTATGGTTAATACAGTTGGCACACTGATGAATATAGCACATTTCTAGGAACCTACGTTTATAGCCATTCTTTTCAGCATCTAGAATATAAGGATTGTTCTATGTTACTTGGTGGTCATGGTTATTCACATAGGAACTGAAGCTAGTAATCTTGGGCTTATGTTTACAGTCACTTTTATGTACTGTAATTCTTTTTTTTTTTAATTTGAGATGTTTGCCTTATGTAAAGTTTCTCACATTCACATTGAAAACCTTAGACGACACAGGACTTTCTATTTATTGGCGTGGTGTCTTTTAGTTGAGAATAATCTGAGCGACCTACTATTATATTTTGCCATCTTCATATTTGAAGGCTGAAAGAGCCGCACAAGTGATGGCCTTAATTTGTTAATGTACATGAGTTTACCAAATTTAACTTCTAAATTGGTCAGCCAATCCTCCTGCACATGACGTGGGGGGAGGGTCCTGTAGTGTAGGCCTCACAGAATAAAAGTTTATTAATTAACCTGATGGAATATTTATTGTCCACAAGAAGAGTTCTCAATAACAGTAAGTTAAAAAGTTAGAAAGAACGGTGACAGATCTTGTAAACCCAAAAGAGCATTGATTTTTTGGTTCATGGGGTGGTGGGAAGAGAAGGGGATATATCTACCAGAGCTGAACGCTTTACGATACCAATCTAAAATAATGACATTGTCCATCGTCCGAATAGCTTTTGAGTCTAAGAAAGCCACCGAAAAGCAGATTCCGTCTCCACAGTAAACACCAGACACGGATTAGATTAATTAAAAATGTTAAGTGTTGCATTGAATGAATTTTTGGGAAGTACATCAAACAAATCATCCACATATTGGCATAAAAGTGGGATTTTATAGTCAACTTTATCTACAACGAAATATAATAATTTATTCATCACAATTTCCGCGATCACTAGGGAGGCGGCACCACCCATCCGAAGAACCTTAATTTGTTGATAGTAATCGTTGTTAAAGGTGAAAAAAGTGTTACTATATAGGAAGCGAATCATATCAATAAACTGTTTTTTCGGAATATTACAATTGGGTTCAATCAAATTGAAATGCTCGTCTAAAATTGCCAATACTAACTCTAGGGTGATATTCGTAAAAAGAGACACCACATCAAAAGAAGCAAGCACAAAGCCCTGAGGTATTTGAACACCGTTAACAAGTTCGTCAAATTCGAACGTGTTTCTAATTCTAAATTTATTGAATTCAGCGAGAGACGCTCAAAATCTGACCAACGAAACATGTCAATGGCTGTGTAGTTTCTCCGACACAGGACACTATGGGACACAGTGGGCAGTCCTCTTAATGGATTTTTGGTAAGCCATAATACTTAGGGCTAGTTCTTTAATTTTTTTCACTGATGTTGACGATGTAGGGTCTCTATGGACTGGAATATACATGGCATTATCTCCTAGGAGTTCCAATAATTTTTGTATATATGATTCTCTAGACATGGTAACCATGACATTGCCCTTGTCAGACTTGGTAGTTAGTAGGTTAGAATTAGCTTTCAGAAATTCCCTTGTCCATCTCTTAATGTCATATGTCGGCGCACGTGTTACTATTAATATAATTACCAATGAGGTTTGTGACCCTTGAGCGAACCAGGTCTCTATGCTGTTTGCAAATATTTTGAATGAGAAATCTGTAAGTAATTTGAAAATATTAATGTCCCTTGGTGGAATAGGGAGGCTAAATTTAAATGTTCCTAAACCATTTAACATAATCGGCAAAGAAAATGAATCTTCGGCCTGCCTAAGTCCTTTGATCTTTTTTAAATTATTCCCCTTAATTTTATTAAAAATCGAATTGAATTGAATGTTGTGTGAATAAAAAATCATCTAAAATATTAAAAGGAAGGTTCTTTCCACGTAGAAAGTCTGATAAACCGGTCACAATCTGCGGTAGACATGTTGTGCATTTTTTTAGTTACCTTTTGTGCTAGAAATTCAAGTTGTCTATGGTTAGTGTTGTTCAGTCGTTGAAGTATGCGCCACAAGTGTTGTGTGCCATCTTGTAGGTATCTGGGAGTCACGACGTCAGTGCCATATGTGATTCCATTCCTCCGATAGAATTATCCCATTCTTACTCCTAGAAGCAAAGTGTAAATACAGTAAGGGGCTACTGGTAACTTGTTGCACAAAATAACTACGGGATCGCCCAATATTGACTAATATAGAGGGAGCAATAAAAGATGTAAATGCTCATTGCTCTTTTTATTTGTTAAGTCAAGCTTTCGCCCAATTATTTAGGCTTTCTCAGGACACTAAAATGTAAAAGGGAAACACTCTATCACAAAAATAAGAAAAACTCACTGGGCTTGTCAATACATACATCAGCAGAGGGGCACAGTACCCCTTGCACAAACAGAGAACCACGTGTTAGCCATTAAAGTAAAGGCTGCACAGATTAAAATAGTAAAACAAAGGAAACTTATGCCTAGACAACGAGTCACTAATTAATAAGTAAAATAACCGGAAACGACAAAGACCCAACAAAAATGCAACCCAATTCGATTCTGTAGGGGATAATCTGCTCAACGGCATTTAAAAAGAAAAACAGACAAATTAAATTAAAATTAAATAATTATTCTCATTTCCTAATGATAAAAACGTTAAAAACTAAATATGAAGCTGGTAAAAACCTTTTACAGTATGTTACAACTTTACTGGATAAAGTTAGGACAAAGATTGTTGATTCTGGTATTCCAAAGTCTTTATTGGATGAGGCCTTAAAGTGTTGTATGAACTAAGTCGGACTCCAAATAGGGCGATAGTTAGAGTAGTGGCACCCTCTACAATTTGGCATGGGTGAAAATCTAAGCAAGCTTCAGCCTGGTATATTACTCTACCAAAGAATAATAGGTTAGATGCTAAATCAAAAACCAAAAAAATAACAATCAAATCTTATATATCACCAACAAATGTAAAATCATGTTTAATCCCCATTTCTCAAATTGGAATCCTTTCATACAGAGGCTTGAGAGAAAAATGACAACACTGTATAATCAAACTAATGTCTAGGCCGCTAGCTTGCTTTTTCCAGAGTACTAGTTAAATCTTCTAGTTCTACAGGAATATTCTAAAATAACATTAACATAATTGAAATTTATTAATACCTATATACTCGATACTAATAATTTATCTACCTTGAAGCAGATCTATTCTATAAATTCCCTCAAGTTCCTTTCTCTCTCAGACATGCTGGCAACTCTTAATATTTCCGCCTTGTGGTTGGTCCTCCAAGTGTTTATGATTGTGTTGTCCCTTCCTGATGCTTAACATTTTGTTTCTGTACATTTAAGATATTATTTTCCAATAACTGAAATTTACATATATTTATTAATCTACAACCTACAAAGGATAATAATATAAAATGCGACATTTTTTGCGATAAACTTGCAAAATGCCTCTTTTGAGCTATTATAAAATATTAAATCAATTTTACCTCGTGGAAAACTATTCGTTGAGGAGTTTTGATACCTCACCACCCTATGAATTTACCTTCTAAAATTAATTGCATTCCGGCTTTTAAACATTTAAACTATTAAATTTGATATCTCTATACAAATTGCTGGCTCTAACCTAAACATTCTGTTTATCAATTACGTCTCAGCAGAGACTAGACGCTTTTGATACAGACTTGGTCTGCTGCCCGATTTCTTGCAATTAAAAACTCTTTTTTATACAGTGACCAAACATAGGTATTATTTTTCTTTCCATGGTTAATTTAAGGCGTGCCTAGAGTTGTGTCAATTCGTCTTGCGGAATACGGTTCTTTTGAATTGTTACAGATTGAAATGAATGACAGAAACAGACTATAGAAAAGGAATTTGAGTATTGTTATAATATTTGTATATTATTGAGTTGCGATATCCTTGGTGGATTTACTTATGTGTTGAATTGAATATTGAATGAACTATCTATTTTCAGTCAGGTATTTAATTTACAGAAATTAATGTATTACTCGTCCAACCCAATACGTCCCAATTATATTGATAAAATGATGATGCAGTAAAAAGCAGAAGACAGCTAACTATTATTATAGCTCAAACAGAAAGATTCGTCCTTTTCGTAATCGATCACCGATTGATTCGGTCGTCGTAAAATGAACGGGTCACACAACACTGGCCACGCGATGACACCATCCTTGCGATCCCGGTGTAGGCGCAAGGATAGTGGAAAAGAGCAAGTGTGGCAACAACACTACTCCTAATCTCTGTAAGCACAGGTCTAGTAAAATAATTTAATTGAAAAAACCTGTTCACCTTCAGCACACTTAGTGTACATCTGTAAGATACAGAAGAAATTGCAACAACATTTTAAAAAAAAGCAATTTGGCAAGAGAAGGAAATTTACTTTGACAATTAGACTGCCACATTTTCGAAGTTATTTATATTATTGGAAAAGTATCTGATGAAAATTACATGTTTTTTTATATAGTGTGCCGATTACTGCTATTATAGTTAAAGTCTTATTTTAGTGGATACCAAATGTATCAAAATTTATAAAAGAAAAGCACCAGAAGAAAATACTAAAAAGTAAGAAATTTCTTTTGAAATTGAATTAAATTTCCCATATCCCTTTATTTCTACCTTTGTTTTTAGGATAAATAAGTTGGTCTCTTACCTCTCCATCTCAGGGTCGTGAAAAAGAAACGCATTAATTAATTAAATTCGTAATTTAGTAGTGAGGTAAGACAATGCCTAGGCTAACTCATTAACAACCGAGAAAAAAAAAATTAATAAAGTAGAAAAAAAAATACTAAACCAAAGCCAAGTTGGAAGGCGGTGAACGGCACCTCGGTGAGATCCGGAAGGTGGTAGGTAGGCGCCACGTGATTCGAAAAGGGTAGACTTATCAACCCGAGGTTCCAACCCGTAAAGGAAATAAACAAGTGAATCACGAACAATAATTTATTTCCTTCAACCTGGTGGTAGGTGTGAGTGTCAAATCTCACCTTCAAGTTTTGGCGGTGCAAAAGAATGTAAGACACTATAATTTAAGGCTATAAGTTCCGCAAACCGTTCTTAAAGAGAACAGGCCACTTAAGCTACCCAAACCTCAAGATGTCCCGAACGTTACACAGCTCTGTCACTATCCCGGGAACCAAGCCAAGATGGAATGGTGGCTCAATGGGGCAGCCGCAGGTGGGCAGTCCCAGTTAAACCAGCAAAGTCCATCCGGAAAGCCTGCTGCTCGATAGGGGAAACTCCGCAACTAAACATGTACCCAAGAGACAGGATACACTGCAAGACACCAAGTCTAAGGTTTGCGGGAAACGGAGCAACAATACGTACAATACTAATTAAAAAAAAAAAACCTAAAATAAAATCGGCATAAATTGAGGCACACTGATTAGGTGGCGAAATGGTTCCAAAAGGTAACTTACCTCGATTAGAGGGTTTTCTGGAAATGTGGGGCAATGACAATTCTTTTCAAAATCCCTCGTTGAGGAAGATTCCCATCCCAAACTCCAAATAGATCCAAAAGTATGGGAAATCATAAATTAGTGACCAATTTACATATCCCCCTCTTATTGGGGTAGCACTACCGGCTCAAAAAGAAATCGGTCACACAAAAGAAAACCTGCCACAACCCCAAGCTTCAAAAGCTAGCGTACAAAATGCCGGACGATTCAGACAACCAGTTTTATTAAAAGGCAAAACGGGCACAAAAAATTAGAGGGAAAACGCTACTCGTGCCAACCTAGTGGACGGTACGCCGCCAGTAGAATGAACAACCGAACTATATCTGTGGTGATGGCCGTATGGCCCGTGTCATGGAATCGAGATTGCGTCAACGAGATCGAACTACCCGAACGCTATCTATGGTGGCGACTGGACAGCCAGTCACAGAAAATCGAGGAAGAATAGGTTAAGAAACAAAACAATGTTTACTAGGCTCTCCGAGGAATACCGAAGCAATGAAAAGCAAATGTGGTCCCTAGTCTCATAGGGTGACAGATGGTAATGGTTATGACTCCTTCTAATGCGCAACTAATACTCTGTTTTTTGCATTAGTATCTTTCAGTAAACGGGTGTCACTTAAAAGAAAACCAAGCGAACAAGCGGCCACGCACACAGCCGTTGCAGCATAAAATATTTATGGTTCGGCAACACAATCGGCCGGGGAGTACAAGTCCGAAACTAAAGGAACCGAGTCTACAAAAGAACATGTGTTCAAATCGCAAAATCGATATGAACCTAATAAACAAGAATTTTAATTGTTAAGAAGCACTCGCGAAACAGCAAAAGGTGAAGGAAATGGATAGTACAATTAATTCTACAAGGTACTAATAAAATAAACCCGTTACTTCGCAAATGTGCCAGCACTGGTACTTTAAAAATGCTAAATTTTACCATTGAAATATGAAACCGTCACAGGTCAGCAAAAGTTGTGCTTGTAGAAAAGATTTTCATGAAAAGATATTAGAAGGGATTAGTGAAGTGTAAGTGCTTTTCTTTATTGCAAGCTTTTTTATTAATGTATTTTTTAGTCAACCACACACTAGTTCCAAGTGCAAATGTAAGATACATTTTAATAGGAGAATGTTTAAAGAAAAGACTGGGTGAGTAAATAGTTTTTGTTATTGTTTAGTTTTCACAAATTTACTCCGTATGAAATTTCTAAGCTTAACTGCTGTGCCCGCTACTGCTCTATGGCTTATAAACCACTTAGCAACATGGTAGAATGCTCTGACAACCTTGTTAAAAAAGTTACATTAAATTCTCTATTAAAAAGGTTTGTTTGTCAACACTTGTTATTTTTGTCTATTAAAACACATTGAAATTTAGTTGAAAATATTAATATATTAAGACAAAATACCAAAAAGTCAATTCTAAACACAAATAGTTCTGAGCAACATCTCATAATACTTGCAAAATACTACTAAATATTTCTTATCCATATGTAAGCATTAAGTAAGTGTAGTAGTAGTCAAGAAATCTTTAGGTGAAGGAGTTCTCTTTAATTATGTTCTAACCAATACAATCTTTATTTTGTTTCTGTTTAATCATAGTTTTCTTTCAAACCAAGTTTATGTTTATGAAAAATGTATTTGCGATTGAAGCAAGCTTTGGGATGTCTGAGCTATATTATGTTGTCCACATACTGAGGCTGGAAAACCAAATTTTCTGTCAATACATTTTTTTTGGAAAATACTTCCTAATAGAAGTAGAATGTCAGTTTTATGTCTATTTTACCGATATGGACAACTTCATATCAGTTTTGATTGGAAAAAAAAAAAAAATATATATATATATATATATATATATATATATATATATATATATATATATATATATATATATATATATATATATATATATATATGATGACACTATATTCCGGGATATCATCCGTTCGCTTGTTGAACTCCGACTGGAATCCTGCAGACGTCTGCAGGATTCCAGTCAACAAGCGAACGGATGATATCCCGGAATATAGTGTCATCACATTTTTCCATCCGTGAATCAATACGTGAAAAAAAAAAAATATATATATATATATATATATATATATATATATATATATATATATATATATATATATATATATATATATATATATATATATATATATATATACATATCCTGCTTATTTTTATACATACACAGAAGTTGAATTTGTCATAATTGAATGTAGGATAAAAGGGTTGATTCTATTGACTTGTGTATTGTATTATATAAAAGCCTTAATATTTTTTATTCTGGTCTTCTTCGATTTTTTACAAAATAAAAATACTTTAGCTTTTTAGTAAATTTTTAAAGGGCTGTATTGCAAGAACTGATTGTAGGCAAGAAAAGTTGTTTAGAATTCTTTAGTGAGTTCAAAAAGTAAGGAAGTTACATATGTAATAAAATTGAGGTTATTTCTGGTGAACTGAAAACGGCATTCAATTGTTTTTATGCTACAGATATTCACAATAATCAACCCTTTGAAATTACCAAATTGCATATTTTTATCTCAACCTATAGTAGTTTCATATCCACCTCTTTTGAGCAGTTTGTCTGCAAATATCTATAGAACTGGTGAAATAATCTACAATAAAGGCTTTTGACGTTTGATAAAGCGCAAATCCCATTTGTTTAAGAAACATTTTTAAATTTCTTTGATATGCAACCTCTGTGGGCTTGCAAGAAAGCTGATAGGTAATTCAAGCAATGTCCAAGATAGAAATGACTAAAATTAAGTGTTATTTTGTATTAGTGTCTGTTATAATTATAAAAGTATTTTTTAGTAAACAGATTATCAATTTGAAGTGCAAATGTCTTAAAATTTTTAAAGGAAACATACCAGGGAAACATATAAAAAAGTAAGAAGTTTCTTTTGAAATTGGGTTTGCATTTCTTACATCCTTTTTTTCTACTTTTCTTTTTAGGAAAAATAAGTTTGTCGGCAAAAGTTGTACTTGTAGAAGAGATGTTCATGAAAAAAGATTTGGAGGGATTAGTGAAGTGTAAGTCCTTTTTTTATTATATGCTTTTTTGTAAATATATTTCTTAGTCAACCACACACTAGTCACAAGTGCAAATGTAAGATAAATTTTAATTGGAGAATGGTTAAAGAAAATACTGGGTGAGTAAATTGTTTTTGTCTTTACTTGTTTAGTTTCAACAAATTTACTCTATATGAAACTCGTAAGTTTAACTACTGTACCTGCTGTTACTCTATGGGTATAATTAGCAACATAGGGGACCATCTTATTAAAAAAATGACTTCTAAGAGTGTTATTGATTTCCATTGTTTCTGTGTTATAAAGGTTGTTTGTCGACACCTGTTATTATTGTGTAGTTAAACAAAATGAAAATTAGTTAAGTGAAAATATTAATATATTAATTCAAAATACAAAAAAAGTCAATTCTAGACATATACATTTCTGGGCACTAGTCATGAGCATTTTAGTTAATTTCCCATATGTAAACAGTATTAGTATAAGTGTGGTAGTAGTAGTCTAGGAACCTTGAAGTGTAGGAGTTCTCTATTCTTGCTGTTTAAACATACTTTTTTCTCAAACCAAGTTTACGTTAATGATTACAAAAACGTATTCTACCAAGAAAGTTGTAAAAATATCTATAGAACTGGTTAAAGACTTTTGATATTTAATAAAGTGCAAGTCCCAATTGTTTGAGAAACACTTTTAAATTTTCTTTTGATGCAATCTCTGTGCGCTTGCAACAAAGCTGATAAGTAATTGAAGCAATGTCCAGGATATAACACATATTCCTCATAGGATGGAGAAATAGCAGTGTAATAAAAGTGTCAAATTACGAATATTAAGTGTTATTTCATATTAGTGTATGGTATAGATGTAAAAATATTTTGTCATAAAATTTATAACGGAAAAGTGCCAGAACATAAAAAAATAAAAAGTCCAGTTTGAAATTCTAATTGCATTTTCTATATGTTTTTTTTTAGGAAAGATAAGTTTGTCGGCAGAAAGTGTGTTTGCAGAAGAGAGCGGAAGGGATTACAGTCAAATGTGATGTGTTTCAAATATAATTTAATATTTGCTTAATAGTTGAATTTGGCATTATATATTTTTTTTAAATATCTTCACAATTACGTAACTGGGTCTCTATGTTTATTTCGTTTATATTTTATAATTTTTACCAAAGAAAACTAACTTTATACTTATTTTTACCCAAGTGGCTTTTATGGGCCTTGAATATATAATTCACATAATAAAATTGTTTTTTAATTTTTATATAAAAGTTAATTTAAAACGGTTGAAGCCAAAATACGGAAAGCGCCGAATGATCAGTGGCCGCGGAAATTTTTAAAACAAACCTTAACATATAAACTATTTTTCACCTCCCTATATATCAAAATATAAGAACCTTTCTTCCTTTTTACTATCTATCTAAAAAATATTTGTTTGCACTCCCGTACGAGAGTTGCTATTGAGGGAAACTAAAAAACTGAAAATATTTTTTCCTACATTAATTGAAATTAACACACTTTTACTTATCGAGGATAATATCTACCAAGTGGATAATTTTTGTTTCCAGCAGAAATATTTGCTTAGACTCCCGTACGACGGTTAGGATTTAGATTTTATTGTATGTGGTCAATGTCTCGGCCTTCCTATTCCTTCCTGCATCAAATTTATCCCTCGTAGAAAGGGAGGGGTATACTTTGTGAACCTCAGGTTTGGAGATTTCGGTCCCTAATTTTAAGGACCTGTTTCTTCCTACTGCCTTTTCTTCGGATTCGTAGTTTTCGTTTCCAGCATAAATATTCGCTTCCACTTCCGTACGAGAGTAGAGTTGTAAACGTAGTAAAACTAAAACATTGAAAAAAAAAATGTTTATTTTTACGCACTTTCATATCTTGGTAAAACTAGATCAAGAAAGTTATACTGTGCCATCAGGCAACCGATGCAACCAGGGAAATTCCATGGTTCGCGCGGGACTCTGTTCTATGGTAGCCATGGTAGTAGAAGGTCACGGAAATAAAGGTGTTAAAAAAACGTATATTCAGCGTATGTTATTTTAAAATGTTATAGACAATAACATGACATATACCAAAATTGTCTTGAAACAATTTAGTATGGAAAAGATCAAACCAGTTACAATACCTATGAAGAAAAACAGGTAGGTCATAACAAAAGAAACTGTGAGGCTGTGGAAAGCATGTTCTATTTACCAAACAAAACATACCATATAATCAGGCCATACTAAATTTAAATAGAATTGTAAAATATTTAGCAAAAACCAAAACAAAATATCCATTTTATAAAGGAAAAAGTTAGGAAAGGATTGTAGGAAAGTAGAGCATTTAATTTCGGAAAACAGTACAGCAGATGTTTATACTAACTCTAACTCTAAACAGTAAAAATTTTTAAACATCGGAATATGTTGGTAAAGTAATTTAAGGTAATAATTTCAAAAATTGTAATTTTTAATAATTATTCGAACACGGTGATGGGTAGTAGTGAAGTTATAGAAGTTTTTAGCCTCTGTAGTTAATTATTTTAAGTTCAACAAAAATGTAAGTAAATTTGTAAAAACCCATCACATACGATAAACAAAAATAAAATTCTTAAAGTTAATATAAAAATTATTATACTTATAGAAAAGCAGCCTAATCTTATTAAAGATGGCAAAATTAACTTCATATTCCACATATTTCTGACGCGACACAAAAGTGTGAAACATGCAATTTTTTGATAAAATTGTCTTTTTAGACACCGTCGGCGTTGCAAAAATTACAAGTTCCTGGTCTTACTGAGGAGAGCAAGGTAGTCGCGGGAGGCGAGCCTGGCCGACGACGTTACGCGGAGCGAGACTATTATGTCACCGTGGCCGCGCATAATCTATATAAATATCTCTCAATGCTACTCGCTGTTTGTTTTTGATTGCAGCGAGACAATTGGGTCGTCCAGGTCGCATATAATTAAATTATTAAAGATAACCCGCAAACGTTATCAATATTTTTTTAAGATAGAAACTATAGGAAAGCTCGCCTTTATCGGTATCTGCTCATACCGGTGTTGAAAGTGCCCCAATTGCTGACGTGCAAAAGGCTGTAGAAGCGTCTTCAAAGGAAGGAAGTAAAACCTCTGTGGCGCTATCGAGTAGAAATTGTGGGACTCAAGGTCAGGTGTTACTTTCTACAGCGATTGTCAAAATAAAAGATGTGAGTGGCAATGTGCATCATTGCAAGGTTTTGTTAGATTCAGCTTCAATGAGCAATTTTATCACTGAAAAAATGTGTGACAGACTTCAGTTAAAAACAAAAGATGCGAATGCGTGTGTGGTTGGGATTGGTCAAAACACTGAAAAGATTTCGAGACGGTGTGAAGTAGAAATCAGTTCTCAGAAAGGTGATTTCCAAATTCCTATCAGTTGTTTAATCATTCCAAAAATTAGTGATGAGATTCTTTTGTCTGAAATTGAGTTAGGGCCAATAAATATTCCAGGAAATATTTGTCTAGCAAACAGTGAATTTCATTCGCCTGATGAAGTGGATATGTTAATTGGTGCAGGTGTGTTCTGGAAACTCATAAGAGTAGGAAGAATCGAATTAGGGGAAAACAAACATGTCTTACAAAACACTTGGTTAGGATGGGTAGTAGCGGGCTACATCAGTGGACAAGGATCTCTAGTCAAATCTAAGAAAACGGTGTGCAACCTAAGTATCGGTACAGAGGTACAAGACCAACTGGCCAAGTTTTGGGAACTAGAACAGCCAGGTGGAGGTCAAATCGAGGGAATGACACGGGATGAAGTTGATTGTGAAAATTTGTTTGTGTCAACAACAAGACGTGATGAGGATGGTCGATTTGTTGTTGCAATCCCATTGAAAATGAGTATTGAAAAGTTGGGAGATTCTCGAGAGATGGCATTGAGGAGATTTTACTCTTTGGAGAGGAAATTTGCCAGGGACAAACAACTACATGTAGATTATTGTGAATACATGAGAGAGTATGAACAGGTAGGTCACATGACTCAAGTAAGTGAGGACATCACGAATGAAAGGTGTTATTACTTACCACATCATGCTGTGAAAAATGAAAGAAGTTCTACAACAAGGTTAAGGGTTGTGTATGACGGCTCTGCACAATCAGACTCGGGTGTGTCACTTAACGATTTGCAATTTTCGGGGCCAAGAATTCAAGAGGATATCATTTCAATTTTGTTGAGGTTTAGACAACATGAAGTAGCATTTTGCGCAGATATCGCCAAAATGTACCGACAAGTATGGGTTAAGGAAGATCAACGCCATTGACAAAGGATACTGTGGAGAGAAAATCCAGCAGAAGAAGTCAAGGTCTACAATTTAAACACGGTGACGTTTGGATTAACCTCAAGTCCATTTTTAGCGGTAAGGTGTTTGCTAGAACTGGCAAAAAATTGCGAACAAACGCAGATTTCAAAGGTAATTGGCAAGGACTTTTACGTTGATGATTTGATATCAGGGGCCTCGTCGATTCAAGAGGCACTTCAGATACGTAAGGGTGTTTGTGAGGTTTTAAAATCCTGGTGGGTTGAGCTCAGAAAGTTCAGTTCGAACAAGAAAGAGTTCTTGGAACAATTTGGAGTAAGGCCCAAGGCATAATTACAAACTCTTAATCTAGGAGAGCATCAACACAAAACTTTGGGATTGTATTGGGACTGTCAGGCAGATATCTTTACCTACAGGGTGAGGGAATTTTCAAGTAATTCAAGTACCACAAAACGGAAGATTCTGTCAGAAATTGCCCAGCTGTTCGATCCACTTGGGTTAGTTAGCCCATGTGTCGTCATTCCCAAAATTATTTTACAAAGATTGTGGATTCTCAAGTTGGATTGGGACGATGAAGTACCGACCAATATTGCCCAAGAGTGGAAACAATTTAAGCAAGAAACGGTGAAATTAAACATGCTGCATATTCCAAGACATGTAGGTAGCAACAATGCAGAGGACATCGAACTTCATGGATTTTGTGATGCTGCACAAGAAGCGTTTGGAGCATGTGTCTATGTCAGAAGTGTCACGAAAGATGGAAGTGTAGTCGTTCGCTTATTGTGTGCAAAAAGTAAAGTTGCCCCGATAAAGGCACTAACTATACCGAAATTGGATTTGTCAGGTGCATTATTACTTTCAAGGTTGATAAAAGAAGTACAAACTTCCATGACGTTAAATTTCAGGAAACTGTTTTTGTGGAGCGATTCTACAGTAACATTAAGTTGGATAAAAGCACCAGCAAATCAATTCCAAGCGTTTGTCGCAAATAGAGTATCTCAAATTCAGTCTATGACGGATCAAGACAATTGGCATTATGTGCGGTCAGAAGAAAACTCCGCAGACTTAGTATCCCGGGGACTTTTTCCTTCCAAGTTGTGTGGAAATAAATTGTGGTTTGAAGGTCCACAATGGTTGTCACAAGATTTCTTTCCAAATCAGGGTGTTAATGTACCTTTAGAGGAACTTCCAGAAAGGAGGAAGCGAGTAAAAGCTTTTTTGAATACAGAGAAGAATAGTCTAGAGATTTTTTCCAGATATTCCAGTTGGACAAAATTGAAACGTGTATTTGCATATTGCTTAAGGTTTACGGCACGTTGCAGAAAATTGGATAGTCACGAATCAAAGAATTTGACAGTGAAGGAACTCCAAGAGTCTGAAAAAATGTTAATAAAGTTATCACACGATGAATGTTTCGAAAATGAGCAGAAAATCTTGGAGACCGGTGAGAAGATAAAAAAGAGTTGGTTGTCAAATTTAAATCCGTTTCTAGACGCCAACGGATTAATCAGAGTAGGCGGAAGACTAGCACTTTCAGAATTTAAATATGACAAAAAATTCCCAATTGTGTTAGACCCAAAACATCCATGTACAAAATTGATTGTTAAGGCAGAGCATTTGAGATTATTGCGTAAAGGCCCTCAATTAGTGCTCATTTCATTAAGGGAAATTTATTGGCCACTAAAGGGCAGAAATGTTGTGAGAAAGGTGGTGCATGAATGGGTTGTGTGTTCGAAGGTTCAACCTAGGTCCTTTGAAATACAGATGGGAGACCTACCTAAGTCACGAGTGATCCCACAATTTCCATTCAATACCACAGGGGTATGTTTGTTTATTTATTTGTTTTTGCACACGTGCAATACATTTAGAGGCTGTAACAAGTCTGTCTACGCAAGCATTTGTTGCAATTTTCAGGAGATTCGTGTCTAGGAGGGGCAAACCAGAAAAAATGTTTTCAGACAATGGTAAAAATTTTGTGGGTGCTTAGACAGAACTGAGAGAGTTGGGAAAATTTTTGCGTAATAATCATGTCAGTTTAAAGGCATTGATTGTGACAGAAGGAGTTAATTGGTCTTTTATTCCGGCATATTCGCCTCATTTCGGGGGTTTATGGGAGTCAGGGGTAAAAAGTGTAAAATACCATTTAAAAAGAGCTGTGGGCAAGGCAAATTTGACTTATGAGGATTTTTCTACTTT